GAAAATGGTGCAAGTCTGATGGTCAGGCCCTCAACAGGGTCAAACTTCATCCCTTCAAGAACATGGTGCAAGTCTGATGGTCAGGCCCTCAACACGGTCAAACTTCATCCCTTCAAGAAAATGGTGCAAGTCTGATGGTCAGGCCCCAACACAGTCATCTTCATTTCTAGCAACTGTGAGCATGGCCTGAGAGTCCATCCTGAAGCTTGATGTCATCTTGTTAGCTGTATATTGGAGAAGTCCACAGTCCAGTGCGTGAAATGTTGTATTGCTATTAGTATGTGTGTTTGATTTTTTTTTTTTTTTTTGAGGCAGAGTCTCACCTTGTCACCCTTGGTAGAGTGCCATGGCATCATAGCTCACAGCAATTCAAACTCCTGGGCTTAAGCGATTGTCTTGCCTCAGCCTCCCACGTGTATTTGATTTTTAAAGCAAAAGTACAAGTAACCTGACTCTTTTCCTTGGAGGTATCTAGGATGAAATAACATCGCACTCTGCCTATGAAGCATATACTCTATTTTTTATTCTTCTGGTACGTGGTATCTAGCGGCTGCCCCATGTCTAGTTAGTGAAGAGTTGTAACAGACCAGCCAGTAGAGCATTCTAAAACATGAGAGAGGTTTTAGACAGTTTGGGTAATTTTCCTGCAGATCTATTCCCTCCCTCCCTCCCTCCCTCCCTTCCTTTCTTCCTTTTTCTTTCTTTCTTCTCCCACTCCCTCTCTACCTCCCTTTCCACCGCCTTCTCCTTGTCCCTCTTCCCTTCTTTTTTCTCTGTGTATATGAAAAAGAATAGTCAAGTAAAGGGAAGAACTTGCTAGTTCGTGTTCTTAAACAAGGCACTATTAATTTTCTCTGAATTCGTCAGTAAATTTAAGGTGATTCATATTAAAATGAACCTGTTTTTCACTTGACATTCTAGTACTAAAGTTCATGTTGTTTTAGTTGAAAAATATTAAGTTGCTAAAGTTCAGTTGAAAAATAAGCAGCTCAGAGATGTTATGTTAACGTATTAGTGGTTTTTCTATCGGAGTAGGCACAGGCACAAGTAGAAATAGATCACTAAGAAATAATAGAGTCCAGACATAGACCCAGCTGCCAGATATGATGCAGGTGTTATTTCATATCAGTGCAAGGAAAGTGCACTATTCATTAAATGGCATTCGGGCAAAAGAAGTATTATTTCTTTTTTTTTTTTTTTTTGAGACAGAGCCTCAAGTTGTCCCCCTGGGTAGAGTGCCGTGGCATTACAGCTCA